CCTTCATGGACTCTTTTCCTTCTGGATTTGAGCCAGTGCTGCAAAAATGAGGTCTTTGCCCTGGGGGTCTCAGGCCAGGGCTTCCCACCAGCATGCAGCACATTTGGGTCCCTATAAACCAAGTATGGATTAACATTAAGTACGGAGCGGTTTCACTGATAATGTAGTTAGACTTTGATAGGCACCATGGCTTAGCTAAGAATGGCAAATAGTTTTAGAAAGACCTAGAGAAGATTGGATGGATGCCTGTTACCCCTTTATTTTCTTTTCTGGCAGTACTAGGGACCAAGCCTAGGGCCTTCACTGAGCTACATCTCACCTCTGTCTGTCTGTCTTGAGACAGGTGTTGCTGCGTTGCTTGGGTTAGGCTCAAGCTCAGGACCTTCTTGCCTCAGCCTCCTAGAGTTTGAGGATGATGAGCCTGCGGCATTGTGCCCAGCTAGCCTTCTGCCTTTTAGAATACATTCTGGTAGGGCTGCTCAGGAGAGCTCTCTTGCTGCTGGCTGTTCCGCTCCGCTGGGATCTTTGTAGAAATCATCAGAGGTCTAAGGAAGTCTCCAGCTGGAGTTGTTCATGGAGCTGCCCAAGAGAGCTGATGAAGCCTGGTGTGGAGGAGCTGTGCTGGACCCTAGGCTGCTGGGAAGGTGGCAGGGGCAGCCAGAGTGGGAGGTGCGGCCCCGAGCCCCCCTGCAGTTTTTGGACAGCCTGGCAACTCCATGACCCCAATTCAGCTGCAGGGCTCCCAGACACTCTAAGGAGTGGGGCTTTGTGTATTGCCGGTCTGGGTGAGGTCCAGCGCCCTGTGTACTGACACCCCTGGGTGTGGAAGATCCCGCACCTCCTAGGAGAGCAGTGCATGGTGTCAGTGGAAAGGGCACCCACACTTGCCAAGTGCCTCCTATCTGCGGGGTTGTCACCTCTGGTGCTCACTATGACCCACCAGAGATGCAGCCCTTACCCCACCTCATGCTCAGGCAGCCACTCAGGACATAGGCCCGCACCCTTCCTGAGTCTGACAGTGCACACACACCAAGGGCCTGTGGGGAGGTGATGGGTCGTGTTCTGTGGCCGCTCTAGGGTCCTGTAGGAGTGTGGGAGCAGGTCTGAGGCTGAGCAGGCCTGTGGTGCTGCCAGACTTGCCCTTTCAGGTCCTTAGCCCCAATGCCCCTGTGCACTGTCCTGCTTCCATTGTCCCTGCCCCGCCTCTTGTGTTGCCACCTTTCTCTTGTGGGGACCCTGGGGTCTGGGGAAGCTAAGGACCCTGGAGCACTCATGGTGACAGCTGCCCCGTCAGCTGCAGGAAAGCATCACTCCCTTCCCCTCCTCAGAGCAATCAGAACCTTCAAAATGAGTTAAGAAGACGCAAAGGTTTGTGCTCATTGCTGTGCCGGGGATTGAACCCAGGCCTTGCGTGTGCTTGCAAGACACAACCACTGAGCTGCACCCTACCCCTTAGTTTTTATTTTGAGGTAGAGTCTTGCTAAATTGCCTAGCTGACCTGGAACTTGCTATCTTGCCTCAGCCTCCTGAGTAGCGTGGGCCTTGATTCTTCAGCGCAGTGAACTGCTCAGTCCTTCTGGGAAACCCTGCCTGGAGCTTCTGGCTGCCTGTGCAAGTCATCTCTTCCTAGTGTGAGCTCTTTGGGGGTTTTTTTGTTTGTTTTTTTTCTGTTTTCTTGAGACAGGTTCTCACTATGAACAGCCAGGTTGAGGTTAGCCATGAATTTCCCTGCCTCAGCCTCCCAAATGCTGGCATTACAGGTATGTGTCACCACACCAGACTTACAGACACTGAGAATTTTGAAATGTTTTGAAAACTTAATGTTTAAATACTATTTCAGGTATTTTGTTTTGCCTGGTTCAGTGTCCTTCTGTGTGGTTGTCGGCAAAGGCTTGAAGGCTCGATGGGGCTTGCATGGTGGTCTCAAAGTTTCTAGGTCCAGGGCTCTGGGCTGGTTCTGTGGAGCAGTGCCAGCCCTGGAGGACATGTCAGAGCTCTTGTGACCCCTTCCCCTGCACTGTTGGAGGCTGGTCACCGCAGTAGCCCTGCCACTCTGTGAGTCACTGCTTGCAGGATGGGTGGGAGGGCAGGATCCTTCGTGTCTGAGCTCTGAGGTCACAGGGTGGGGGTTCCTGGACCCGAGGGCAGTGTAGGGTGGTGTGGGTATAGAATGGCGTGGGCACTCAAGTGCAGTGCTGGTGACGGCTGAGGGCAGTGCCAGATCTGCCAGCTGTGTGTGATTTCTGCAGGGCAGTGTTTCCAGTTTGGTAAGCGTCGCCCTGGAGGACCCTGCTTCACAGGCTGCAGTGGCCCTTCTTCTTTCCTGAGCACCTGAGTAGTTGCCAGTACCAAGAGGCTTCAAGCTGTGCCCTGGCCCCGTCCTTTGCCTGGCTGGCCACGACCGGGGTCCTTCTCTCACAGTGTTGTGGGCTGTTCTGGGCTGGCAGAGCCAGGAAGCAGGCAGCCTTAGAGGCTGGGGAGCCCCAGGGCCATCTGTCCCTGTTCTGAGCTGCTCAGCATAGCACGCTGTGGAGCTCCCCTCACCCCCCTCAGGTCCCCTTCAGGGTCCACTGCCCCAGGTGGCAGGGGGACACCCAGGAGGTGGCCAGGGAGCCTTGTCTTGCCCCACAGAACCTCCGGTTGTATGCTGATTGTCACCTGCCAGGACGTGAGTGTCAGAGCCATCACGTGAGTGTGTGTGCTGTGTCATGTGGGTAATTCATGTCTGCTTGGCACACCCCACTCTAACACCCTTTGCATCACCTGTATTTGCTCACCCTGTATTTGTGGTCACATGGTCGTTACTATTTATTGCCTATGTGACTGTGTGTGTGTGTGAAACAGGACCTCACCATACAGTTCAGGCTAGCCTTGAACTCACCATGGAGCCTAGCCTGGCCTCAAACTCATGGATTACTCCTGCCTCTGCCTCCAAGGTGCTAGGATTTCAGGCATGTCCCACCATGCCCAGTTTATGTGACCTTTTTAATTTTCTATTGTAATCCCAAATATTGAATATTGGTAATCCAAAGATTGTAATCCCTTTTCCAGTGGTCCTCACAATCCAAAAAGTTGTTATTTGTAATCCCATTGAGATATTATTGGAATCTTGGCAAGTTAATTCCAATCTACCACCTCCAGTGCAACCCACAATGAGAGTAAAGACACTAAGACATATTCAAAGTTAAGGGCATCCAAGGGGTCCTAAGCCCCATCCAAGTGAGGATGTGTGGGCAAAGGCCCTGATCCAAGGCCTCTCCCAGAATTTATTATCGTGTGAAGAAGGGAGTGGCTCAAGGATGAGTGCCAGTGATGATGGCAGAATACATGAGTAACCTGAGCTGGCTAGCCAAGTAGGGAGAAAAGCACCTTTGCAAAATGCAGGGTTAACAATGTGCAGAAGGATTAATTTGTATAATTCAATTATGGTGGCAGCTGAGTTGTTTTTGGAGGCTGTTTCTTCCGGTTTCTGATATGTAAACTTTTGTGTCCTGGGGACTCATAACCACTTTACCTGGAGGCTCAGACCAGTTGACATTCCTGGAGCTGACTGTCTCTGCCATCCTGCTGTGCTCATCTTTTAGAGGGAGGAAACAGGAGACTGTCTGATGGCTTTAGAGACTGCATACCAGTACCTCAGCTGGCTTTATTTGCAATGCTTAGAGCTAATTGAAGAGAGGAGGAAATACTGTAGTCAGCTCTGTGCATATCAGTGCAAGGAAATAAGCACTGATATAATCAAAGTCACAGCATTTGTTCTGCATTCTAGGGGAACCACTCACATTGTCTCCCACAATTCTCACCACCCAGGGCTCTCTGTTTTCCGACCTTGGTTTCAGCCAGTGTTGTGTGTAGGGACTGTTCATTAGGTGATGAGAAACTGTGGGTTTCAGTTTTATTTTCTTTCTAAGAAGGGGTGACACACAAGCAGCGTCCCCTGTGCTTGTCTTTGCTGGTGTCGTGCAGACTTTGGGCACTGAAGGAAAAAGCCTGGGCCTGGCATGGTAGCGTGGGCCGCATGGGCAGTGCTGGACTGGGAGCCCCATGTCCTGGAGCCCAATGTAAGGCCTCATCTGTGTTTTCATGGAAGCTACTGCTGAGTAAATGATTCTCCTCTCAGACAGCACCTTCATCTCAGGGTGTTTCAGTCACCACATGGAGAGAAGTAGAGGCCCATGCACTGCTTGGACCTGGTGTTGGGGTGCTCTATGTGCTGCCAGGTGTTGTTCTGTTCCAGCTGTCTGTAGGGAGCCCTTTACTGGGAAAATTACCAAATTACATGGTTTTACGGTGCTGAGCACTTCTGATTGCACTGAAATGATCACTTGCCTTTAAAGTGGAAATTGATTTGGGGCAAAGCCTGAATCTTTAAGGTTTCTTAAGACACATTTAAACTTTTTCTTCTTACTATTTGTTTTTTAAACTAGAGAGACAATACGATGTAATAATGAGAGGGAAAGAAAGTGCTCCAAAGGGAAGAACAACTTAAGATAGATAACCATACTCATTTTTTGTTGGTTCATCAAAGAAAATGATTTGTACTGCCATTGTTTGTCTTTTCATTTTTTATGCTTTGATTTTGTAACTTGAACAACTAAGAAAACGTGTAATATATTAACTAGTAATGACTTCTTACTGTTTTTTTTGAAATTCTGTACCATTTCTACCCTTTTTTCTGTTTTGCTTTTTTAAAAAAAGATATATTTAAACTGCTGTAAGTATTGTGAAGCTGTTTAAAATAGGAAGCAAGACTTAGAAGTGTTTTTCCTTAGATGAATTGGTACGTGCATGTATTAAATCTGTGTATATTTTTATCTTAGCACAGCAAGTTGTGATCTTCTGTGTTCCTCTTCGCTGTTTCCCTCTGGGCTCTAAACGCCACTCCTCTCAGATACGCTGTCCCTTAGGGCTCCCCAGCTTGGCCACAGCAATGCGGAGAGGGAACTGTGAGCCAAAGCGCTGCACGCCTTCAGAAGTAACTTTCTGTGCTTTTCTTACAGGTAAAGTGGGAAGCTCACGATGCTCTGAAGCCGAGGTAAGAGACCGTTCCCTGCCCTCCTGGGCCCCGTCCCTGAGTCCTGGTGTCCTGTGTATGGTGGTGGGGGCCTCAGTCAGGTGTGTCACTGAAATCCTGCACAGCTGGGACCCTTTCTGCCAGCTCCTGTATGGGACTCAGCGGATTAGGACCCAGCGCCCTGAGGGAGGATGAGTTTGAGTCCAGCATTTCATTGTCCTGTCCTGTGCATGCATGCGTCCTGGACACAGTAGAGGGTGGAGGCTGTGGTGGGCAGAAAGCTTGCATGTACAGTAATGAGTACCTTAGTCATTTCAGGAGAACTGCACTTGGAATTCGGCTGTATGGTGGTGGGCACCTCTGGTGTGCGTGAGGTGATGTCCCCTTGGGTTGGTGGCAGAGACCCCGCTCAGTGTAGCCTGAATGAGGCATTTGTGGCTTCACAGTGCAGCTGCAGACTGATGTTGATTTTAGTAAATTTTAATTGTTCTTTAATTGCAACTTTTCTGAGGGATTATACTATATAGAAAGAAAGCAAAAATAACCTATCCTTTGTTGCAATCATTTTGTTGTTTTGTACTTTCTATTCAACTTAGAAAATAGAGATACTTTTTCTCAAGTTAGTTCTAGAAGTAGGAACTTAATACTATTGCTGGGGATTTTGGTGGACTCTTGGGCATGATATGAAGGTGTGGGCTTTAGTTTGAGTGGGAAGATTCACCTTTCATCCTGTGATGTCCAACTGTACAGTTTTCTAGCTGTGCAGTTTTTTTTTTTTAAACTTTTTTGGGGCAGGATCTCACTGTGTATCCCATGGTGGCCTTGAACTCATGCATTCATCTTGCCTCAGCCTCCCTAGTGCTGGGATTATGGTGAGCACTACTGTGTGCCTTTTACTTTCCCGACTTTCGCCAGCTTCGTGCCTGAGCACCCAGCCAGTAGTATCCTCACTGATGCAACGATGTGGGCTGCCAGGAGAACTGGAATCTAACTAAGCAGAACCCTAGAAGAAGGAAAATCACAAGAAAACAAAGTTCAATCTTACAGTTGCTTTAAAAGATGAATTCAGGTTGGGCATGATGGCATACATCTGTAATCTCAGTGCTCAGGAGGCTAAGACAGGAGAAGCACCCTGAGTTTGAGGTAAGCCTGGGCTATACATAAACGAGTTCAAAGCCAGCTTGCACTACATAGTGAGACCCTATCTTAAAAAAATTGGATTCTGGACTGGTTTATACTTGTAACTCTGGGAGACTGAGGCAGAAAGATCATAAGTTCAAGCTTAGCCAGTGTAACAGCAATTTAAGGAGACCCAGTCTTGAAATAAAATTAAAATTTAAAAAAGGTTCAGGTGTGGATACTACTGGCTGAGGTAGCAGTTAACCTCTGCAGAGGAGGCTGTGGTCCTGGTGGTTGCTTATCTAGAGCGCCTGCGTTTTTAAAGAAAGTGAGACTGCATGTTCCGATGTCTGGTGAGAGGGAAGGGTGCTACTGGGCTGCACTGTTTCCTAGGTGCCTCTTGACTCTGCTGGCACCTGTGGGGCTGGGCAACCCTCAGGCTGCCCGCTCCCATGGACACAATGCAGTTCTTCATGTTGTTGCTTAGGTCACATGCTATAGATTCACCAGTAGGTGTCCTGGAGTTCCCGCTCTGACATCTCACCCCATTCCTGTTGGTGCCACAGCCATGTCAGTGGCCTGCAGTGGGTGTGTGGTCCTTGAGAAGGTGGAGAGGTAAAGGGCCCGAGGCCAGGGCCCAGAACCTTTGGCAGAGGCCAGGGAGACGGGCTTCTGGGTCCTCATAGGGACAGTGGGGCTCTGCAGCCTAGGCATCTGCACAGTGCTGGGATTCACAGAGTGCCCCTCAGAGCAGTGAAACAGCCACGTGTGCTGTAGTCCTGCAGATGTCTTCACCAGCTCTTGGGTTCAGGCCCAGATAGCGGACTGAACCTGCTGGACGGGTGCAGACAGCCATGAACCCCGGCCCCACTGGCTGGGTCCATGCAGGGCCTGTGACTTGGGAATTGCTCCTGGGAAGTCAGACCTGGAATCAGTCTACACTGGGAATCGTTTCCCAGAGACCTTGGGAATGAGCCAGGAAAAGCATTAGAGTATGGATCTTGGGTTTATGGTTACCAAGTTTTTGACCCATGACCTGCTCAAACATGTATTGGGTTTGCTGAGTGCATCACTGCTGGCATCGTCCATGGGGTGACCTGCTTCAATGCAGTCAGCAGTGGGAGGCCCATGTTGTCTCCAGCTGGATCTGTTTCTCACTAGCTCCCTCGGCTCACGTGAGAGTGTGCTGCCCCTCTTCTTGTAGACCCTGAACAAAGCTGTACGAGGGTCTGCCTGAGGCCTGTGGTCTTGTTTGGGAAATGCCTGCCTGGGCACAGTTTGAGCTACATGACCCGGGCTGTTCATATCTGTGGAAATGGCAGATAGTGCCAAATGAATTAGCCCAGGAAGACTTACAGAAACAGGAGTGTTGTGGTCTGATCTGCTCTCAGCAGAGGCTTTGGTCTTGAGCTTTCGGAGTTTATGAACAGCGTCTGGGTAAAGTGTGTGTTATCTGGAAAGGTTAAGAGAATGGGCTCTGCTCGCTGCAGGCAGACAGGTGGCCCAGTCTCTCACTTGCAGGTACAAGAAGGAAAGTCCTGTCCGCATGCTCATCTTCTTAATTAATGATGCCAGAAGGGCCCAGTTCCTGTCCACGCATCCCTCTCCTTGGGTTGAAGACTCCAGATGGGTCACTTCTATAGTGTTCAATTGATGTATATGATCTGAAAATTGTTTTTGAGTGTTCTCAGGGAAAATTGTGTGTGGTGAGTTGCTACTTCTGGGTGTCATTTTTTTAAAAAAAATTTTTTTAAAGACCGGATCCACTCTTGTCTGGACCATCTTGAACTTACAGTCCTCCCACCCACCTCCTATATAGCTGGGATACAGATGTGCCCGCTACACCAGACTTGAGTGTCAGTTTTAAGTGAGCTTGGCAGAGGATGAGTGCTAAGTGAGTGTCTTCATTTAGGGTTGACACACTGTAGATGTGACCTGGGCATGATGCAAGTTCCCTCTGGTTTATCCTCTCCTCACCAGGGAGCGCTTGTTGCTGAAGGGCCTTCCTGACACCCTAGCCCTAGGTGACGTCTGAGTAGGGACAGGATATGACGATAGGATACAGAGATTATACCATGGCATTTCTTTGCATGGTTTTTACTGTCCTGAAAGGGAAATGATAACTGAGTTTAGCAAAGGGTCTCAGCACCAGAAGCATTCATCTGTGAGTAACGATGTATAGCCCTCTAGGTAGTGCAGACCTCTGGTGCGCAGATGATAAAACAGAATATCATCTTTTTTTTTTTTTTTTTTTTTTTTTTTTTGTCTTTTTCATTTTTACCGGTACCAGGGATCGAACTCACGACTGCCTGCTTACAAGGCAGGTGCTTATGTCACTGAGCTAAATCCCCAGCCCCCAGAATATCATCTTAACTGTGTTCTGCCCAACGCATGGCGATCCCTGGGTCCCAGCCCTTGGGAGGCAGAGGCAGGAAGGTTGTGGGTCTGGCACCAGCCTGAGCTGCTTAGAAAATCCAAGGTTTACCAGGACTATACAAGAACAGCAGCAAAATAAACAAACAAAAAAAACCCTCCAAATTTAATCATTTCCCTTGTTGGGACCATAGCACTCTGTCCTGGTGAAGACTTGTCTGTTTTCATAATGTGAAACATTGGGGTTCGACAGCACACAGCACACTGCTGCAGGGTCTGTGCGGGAAGAGCATAGAAGATGATGTGTATTTATGGCAAAGCTGAAATGTCACAGCATGGTAGGAGAGAGGGGTGCACACCCCTCTAGTCCCAGCCCCTGCTGTGGTGGCTGTGTGAAGTATTCTAGAGCCTTGTCCAGGTGTGCATGCAGGCAGGTGCACACACATGCACACACAGTGTGACATGGCAAGCCCAGCTTGTGCTGGGAACTCACCTGGGGACATATGTTTGCCATGGAAGACAGACTTGGCCTAATGACATGGCTGGCAGAGAGGAGGAGGTGGGACTCCCCAAGGAAAGACGGTGCTGACATCCCAGGATGCCCAGCTGTGGGGAGAGGGTAGTTGGGGACTGGGGAACCAGGTCTTGGGACATGCATGTCTTCAGGGAGCAGCAGCATTTCCCCCGGGGGTCCGCCTCCATTGTGGTGTGTGTGTGTGTGTGTGTGTATGTGCACATGTACATGTGTGTGCATGCGTGGGCATATGTGTGCTCCATGTAGGGCCAGCGACTGGTCGTGTTTCCTGTGTGTATTTGGTTAGTAGCTGGCACCACATGGTGCAGCCATGCATGTGGGTCTGGGAGAAACTGCAGCTCCTAGGGCCCTGGGAGTACAGCCCCAGCTGAGGCCACTCAGGGTCCCTGGGTGTCCCCTTGGTGGCATCTCACACATGGACAGGAGAAAGGATAGGAGGACCTGGAGGTGATTGGGATCACATGGCCCACAGAAGGTGGTGGAGAGGGGATGTCTGTTCTGGTCCCGCAGTGTCTTTAGCCAGGTGTGTGAGGGACAGGGCTGCATTGATGCAGGTGATGCCAAGGATCTGTGGTCATGTGTCTACGAGCTTAGATGAGCCCAAGGCACAGTTGGCCCATATGACTGGCACAGCAGTGGCATGGGGCAGTGAGGGTGGCTCTGACGCATGCAGGGACAGGGACAGGTGGTTGTGTGTGGCCCTGGTGCCAAACCCACTTGAGAAGGTGAGTGGGAGCAGGACAGGGCTCCCCCTTTCCTGATGTCTGGGACTGAGCCTGAAGCGGGAGGGCCTAGGAATCAGTGGTTCCTCTGTGCCACTGAGAGGGCTGGGGAGGCAAGTTCCTGTGAAGCTTAGGGACACTCAGGCAGGAAGTGCAGTTGGTGCACCCTGCTTGTCGTGATCACCCTGGGCACTCATTTGCCTGCTTTGGGCAGTGTCCGCTGGCATGGCCACTTTGTCACAGTGTGCTGCTGGCCACTACCACTGCAGGGT